GGCCCGCGGGTCTCAGGGCCGTGCCGCGTCGGGGAGCAAATTCCGTGGCCGTGGTGCCGCTGCGCGTGTCGGGACTCCGGGCCTCCAGCTGGGCGGCAGCAGCACGCAGGGGAACGAGCAGTCTATTTTTATGTGCTGGCACTTCTGTACGACAGTCCCATCTCCTCGTGTTGGGACCTCAACTTGATAGGCAAGGATTACGGTGTAAATCTGGCTAAAATGGGTTCGGTTTTCTTCTCGTTCTGCAAAGGACCGTGCTTCAAGCGTCAGCCCAGGGATTATTTATAGAACTAGCATAACTTTTAAACCAAAATGTTTGTCTACGTGAGCCAATGCTGGAAGAACTAAAGGATTTACTTTAGTAGTTGAGTACAAGGATGAACTGCACAACTCCTAACATCAGGTATCTAGTATTATTTTGTATACTGGAGGAAGGAAGCAGATAAATTCATCCACGTGGGTTAGTCTTTTGTGTTTGGTTGGTTTTAATCTATATATGTACTTCACTCACATGTTTGTGAGCAGCAGTAGTTGGAAGGCCTAAATCAGAGACAGTTTTGTAACTAGAAATTACATTTTGGAAACATCCAGTGGTTTTAACATCTGGATTTGGAGGAGGTTTTTGGTAGGTTGGTTGGGGGATTTTTTTTAGGCGTTTTGGTTTGTTGTTGGGGTTTTTTTTATTACTTATCTATATTATGGAATGAATTTATGTTCATGTTCTGGATTTCTCTGGTGCTCTGTTTTTTTCTGAGGACAACTCTGCTGTCTTGGTGCTGTCAGCAAAGAATGGTAATATTCGGAACTCGACTGAGAGCAAAGTGTTGCTTTTCTCTTTATTTGCTTCCATAGCACTGTATGCTTTTGTGAAATTGCAAGTACCATTTAGCTTGATGACTATCATTCCTTGATGAACAGGGTCTGCTTATGTGCATGTCTTTTTTAAAGTATTGTCTTTTACAAATTCAGGTGTTGGATTACCATGGGTGTAAAATAAGCGACCCATACTGCTGGCTTGAAGATCCGGATAGTGAACAGACCAAGGTAACTTTGCTTTATACAGGAATGGCTGTTTTGGCATGATTCTCTTTCAGGCTAGGTACATGGGTAGTCTGCTTTTGAAGGACCTGCCAATACTTTTTGAAAACGTACATTGTGAATGTGGCTGTAGTTCATGTGATATGTTGTGGGTCTGACAGCAGTAGCATTGTTTTGTATTTTTGTGTTAATGAGGGAAAGATGGGAACCCTTCGAATAACCTAGATCACAGGATCTGGAAAACTAAAGCCTTGTTTTCCTTTCTGCCTTTTTTCTTGGAAAATGGGAATGCTCAAGGTGATGCTGTGATCTGAGAGTGTGTTATCTACTGTCCTAAGTACGTCTAAAATTTCCATAATTGGCAGTTTGGGAAAAGGTAGAAAGAAGACTCCTTTGGTTTGATTTCTTTGTACTGTGACAAAGTGTGAAAACGTTTTGTGTTGTTTGTGAGGTTTTTTTGACACTTTTTTTGAAAACAAAAACCTTTTCCTCCTGAAGTTAGGCTTTGTAAGTGGCTTTTATTACAGATTGTCAATGTTGCAGTGTTTTCAACCTACAGTCTGGTATAGCTAGATTGTGCTGATAGAACTGGTCTTTTGCTGAGAGAGACTCCTGAAAAATAATAATTATGGCTGGGAGCTAGTTGCTCTGGCATGGGGAGGTTGCATGGCATAAGGAGTTGCAGGAGTGAAGGCCAGAAAGTGACAGGTGGCAGTGTGGAGGAGGTTTTCTCTGTAATGGCTAATAACTTTGTGATAACCATAGTTCCAGGTCTAAAACACTGGCATCTATCTAGTATGTGCGATTGTGTCGGAAAGGTGATGGTTCTCCATTTAAAAATATCCTGCAAGGTGGAATTCCATTAGTGAGATTCCTTCTAGGTTCTCTCATGTATGTGCTTACGTAATACTCTTGATGAGATGGTTGACTAAGACTTACTGTAACTCTCAAGAGCAAGATAAAATGTGTACAGTTAGAATCCCTTTCCCTTCTTAGAAGCCTATCAATGTATATAAAGACTCACATGGATTAAAAAGGTTTGTTTGAGATCAGGTTTTAGTGGAAAAACTCTTGCTATGGATGTTAACATTGAAATTTAGATATTTAGTAAGTTGGGAGTATTTTTATTTTTTCATTCAAGCATCCTTAAGACAGGGTACACATGGGATAGTTTTGTGCCAGATTTTGAGGGATAGATGTGGGGGGAGGTATGGTTATGCCTTTCTTTTATAGAGGCCTTACCAATTCCTATTAAAGTAGGTTTGGGGATCCTGTGGAAGAGTTGAGATTGAGAAGATGCCAAGACCTGACCTTTTGTGTTCCTGTGTTCAATACTTTCTCCACATTCTGTGATCAAATTGGGTGAGAACAGTTGCATAAGAGTGTATCTTTGTTCTGAAGAAGTGGTAGTTTATACACGAGGCAGAATAAGGACTGGAGGATTATAACATGCTCAAAAATGCAGCAGCCTAAACACAAAATGTCACATTAGTGGAATGAAAATACTGTTAAATCTTACTTGCCTACACTCTAAAAAACATATGCCTTGGCAGAATTCTGCAGTGCAGTAGTAGTATGATGCAAAGAGTGGAGGGAGGGAGTGTGCATGTAAGTATGTGAGTGTATAATCTTTTTACAAAGTTCCAAGAGTTACTGAACAAGGGGAAATAAAGTATTTTACTGTTCTACCTCTTTTGTAGAACAGGACAGAAAAAAAAAATCTTAAAGTGCTAAATTGCTTTCATCTGCTTTATCACTCACTTCTCTGTACTCTGCAGCAGAGGTTGCTGATGGCCACTCTTTCTTACTGACCTTTCTTAATAGTTTTATCTCCAAGTTCTTGAGATAGTTTGCAGGACTCCTGCAGAATAGCCATGGTGCACCTACCAAATCAAAGAATAACCAGACGCTGGTATAGAGGCAACAGAATGACGCCAGTCTTCAGAGATAATTTGGAGCATGCTTTCTCTAGTTTTTAAGCCTTCAAGTCACTGACCTAGAGACCTGTGTCCTTCTCATTCTTCCTCCAAGCTGCTCGCTCTTTTTATGCACTCCTTAATATCCCAAGCCTCAATTTATTTGGAGGAAGAGTAAAAATACCCTGTGTACACCTCCAACGGTAGGCTACCCTTAATACATATTAAGTACAGAACTAGGTGAAGAATATCTTTGGGCATCCATGCTCATCTGTAGTGAAAGAGACCCTATTAGATTCCTGTTTACAACATACTTGCTTGATTTGGGTGTGTATAACAATGAAAATTCTGATTTTTGACGAGTATGAAGACTGAATGTCATTCATTTATAAAGTTAGGAATAGTTTCTCACACAGAAACAGCCAAAATTACTTGGTGTGTGCTGTCGAGTAGATGCACAAATATGTTGGAATTGTACTTTTCTAGACTGAGCAGAAATAGACATGAGTCAGTGAAACTTCAAGTTTACTTTTTCTTGAAGCATGGAGGAAGGAGGACAGGTGAGTTTACCTGGAATTTTCATGGTACATTACATGATGCCTACTGTAGGGTTAGCAGGACTGGAACTGAAAAAAAATTGCCAACAACAGCTGTGAGTGTAAAGAATTGTATTAATTTTTTCCTGTAGCTAGTCCAAATAATCTTGTGGGCTCTGACAGCCGCATACAAATAAGTGAACATAGAAGGATCTGATTCTATGGGGTTGGTTTGTTTGTTTTTTGTAATTGGCTTAATCAGGTATTTTTGCTGTGTTGAGTGCAGATGTACTGTACCCGATCCACTGTATTTTTGCAGGTTTCCATTAAGTCAGGTGGTTCTGTGGTTTCTCTTTGCTCTCTCTTCCCTTCTTGCAATGCCCTGAATGGTTATGTCCCTGCTTTGCATGGATATAGCCATTGCAAGGTGATGTTCTGGGAGGGGACCCTTTGGTGGATTAGTTTTCTATTGGCACACATGCTTAATCTGGGTCATGCTCAAGGCCACATGATAGTTTGATCTAATATGATTCAAGAATGGAATCTTTTCTAGCAGCAGCTCACAGCCTACTTTTAATTAGGTAAAAACCAAATAGGTTTAGAAATTTTTCAGCCAAGTCATCAAGATGATCTTATTCCATATGCAGCATATATTATCTTCTATAAAAATGAGGCTATTGAAATCTGCATTTGGTTAAGCAGGAATATATGCAGTCTTGGAGCTGATTAAGCCACATCCTTAATCTCCTGTGGAAAAGCTTTTCAAGAAATATGTGTTTGTATGTTCATGATCTATGTGCTTTACTGCATCATATTTTCCTCACATGCTTGGTTGGAGTCGTCATGTGCAGCTATAAACAAGCAAAACACCCTCTTCCAGATATGTAAATTAAAAATTAGCCCCTGGCCAGATGGTGATGTTCCTGCCTCACTTTGGAGAAAGGAAGCGCAGAGTGTGGTGGGTTCATGCTCTGCTACTGTTTGGACGTTGACCTTTAAGACAGACTGAGGAAGCTTCTGTGGCACAGTTGAAATGTTGTGCCACACTGGTAAAGCACTTGTGTTGAGGACCTAGGCCTCAACTGCAAAACCACACTACTGCTGTTGACTTGTGTTTGGCTTGGTGGGGCTTTCAACTTCTTGGTTGGTTTGTACACTTTGTAGAAAATAAGCTCATTTTTAGCCCACAGCAAAGTCTTTTGCTGCTATGTCAGTCATGCACAGTGCCTTAACTCACTGACAGCATAGGCACTGGTGTGGTGCTTGTTTCAGACCTGAGGGGTGGACAAGGGATAAAAGAGCAGGGGTCATGTAGTACACACAGATGAGTTGTGGTACTGTGAGCATGTGTAGGTTTGCATTAAGACTAGAACTGAAATTCACAAAACTAAAATTAAATGGAGTTGTAGTTATAATGAACCAGTGTTTCATTTACATGTTTTGGCAAATCTGCAGTTGAACTTCAAACGTTTCTTTGCTAAATACTAAAGTAAATGCTAAGAGGCGAGCCACCAGAAGTCTGCTTTGTCTTTATTTGTAATACCTAAAACAAGGTGTATGCCCTCTTGGAGAAGCTGCACTGAGCTACCTTTTACTGAGAAGATATATATGAAGATTTTGGGGTAACTACCAAACCAACTGTAAATACTTTACAGATTAATAACAAAGACTGGTAACGTTAAAACTATTTCTGTCCTAAGACTTCTCCTTGGAAAGTATACTGTGAGTGGAAATTATTGTCTTGAGAGAATGGCTTAGTGGAGAGTAGAAAGCTGATAGATTGTAACAAAGCATGGTTAAAAAATTTTGTGGCATGTGTCTTTTAGATGAAATGTAGTTATACTTAAAAAAAAAAAAAATAAAATTGGCCTGCTCAAGTAATGACCAAACACTTCAGCCTCGAGTAGAACATCTCTATTCTTAGTACAACACTTCAGAAACTCTTTTGCTTTTCAAATTACATTCTTGTCTGAGATACCCATAAGCATATGCCTTACTTGGACCTTTATTCTGTCTTGTCTTCTGCTTGCAAATTCTGTCCTGGCTCAAGGCTTATGATAGATTGCCAGATGTAGATTTCTACAGGCAAAATAAGAATCTTTTTCCATAGGTTCATGAAGATGTACATTTCCTGTTTGTCCTGTAGCTTAGTTGGTATCTATTTAGCTCAGCATGGTGGGTGGAGTTGTTTACTGGGAGAGTATCTGCTGACATTTGTTCCTGTACTTTACCTAGAGCAATATTTCAGTTATGTTTTGCTTTTGGAACATGAGTGCAAACTGTATGTAAGAACAGAGAGTTTCCAAACTGTACTGGATCCTCCTCAGTGGAAGTCTTTCAAAGACCTGTAATTCCTGCCTCCTTCTTCATGTAGCAATGTTAATTCCCTTTTACAAAGAGTCTAGGAATCTTTGGTGCAATCTAAGTGGGAATGAAAAAAGCATATTAAGTTCCTGTGAAAGCAAAATGACTAGTGAATCATTTGTCATTGCAACAGTGAGGAGGCATGCACTTGTGCAACAAATGCTTGTAAAGAAAAGTTTGTCCCCTCTTTGAGTACCAGTAAATGAAAGCAGGTGGGGTAGGATGTGACTGTGCAGTTAAAAGTAACGCACAGTTCCAGTATGCCTTTGCTGCAGTGTTACCATTTTGGTCCTTTTTTTGATAGGTGAAACAAAGTTGTGTGCCACTTTTCTGTCCACTGAGTGCAACCAAGAAGTGATTTTGCCCATCTAGTACAATGGATGGGTTTAGAAATGTTTTTGTAAGACGTATTTTCTCTTTTTCTCTGTGACATTTTTCTCTGGAAATGTCACAGCACTTTGAGTAGTTAGTTTATTTGTGTGCCATGAACTGTCTAGATTTTTTGGTATGTAGACTTTGAAATTCATGTGTTTCCACATGGGAGAATGAATTCAGATACACAATTCTTGGGTAGATTTGATGAAGTTCTTCCATCCAAGGAGGGGGGAACGATTATAGCAGTACAATGTGGAGGCTGTGTGCTGTTCTGACTTGTCACTGGGCTGTGCTGCCGTGCTGGGTTTTAAAGCTCTCTGTGCCAGTATGATCCTCAAATGGGCAACAGAAGCAAAAATTCACCTTTGCTTGACAACATATTCACTTCTTTCCTTTTCCTGATGGTATAATTTCCTGACTTGCTCCTAGCTGATACATAGCATATAATTTTGAGTAAAGGTGCAGGAATTGTCATTGTTAGGCTTCTGTTCCTGTTCCTTCCCAGTGCTGCAGTGCTTGCTTTCTTGTGTCATCCTTCAGTGGTGACTTGTGTGTAACCAGCCCATGTGTTCTGGAATGAACACGTTTCAGCACTTACCCAAGTGTTCTTAGGGCATTACTAATTCTGTGCTCACATATTTAAAGCTTATCAGTTTCTATGTGCTTTGTTAGGCATGAACAAATATCTGCCAAGTGGAGACTGACCGTAATTAATGCACTTTCTCTTTTACCTTTTGGCCTGATTTGTAATGCAGGTCTTGGCTCCGCACTGCTGTGTCAGCGAGGGATATGGGAGTAGTGAGAGTGTCTCCCTTTTGCCCCATGTGCTCGCTTCTCACCATGGGAAATGTCTGTAGAATGCTACTGAAAGGCTTTTGTGTTCTATTCTTTCCTCCTTTTCACCTGAAGAGTAAATAGATGAGTAAACATTGATAGTAATTGGTAAATGTGTGCCAGGTACTCTTTGTACAGCAGCTGGCTTTTCTGAAGAACTGTGAGACACAAACTATGGAATATAGATTGTAGCCCTGCTTTTCCTGTGGGTCGTGCCCCATGGTGAAGTGTAGCTCAGAGGTTATCATGTGTTGCTTTGTGACAGATTCAGGACAGGTAGAAACAATAGCCTCTTTCGAAGGCTAAGACTCTTGGGTATTAATTTGATGTTAATGTACTGTAGTATAAATAGGGATGGTGAAACACCAACAAAGCACTAGTTTCTCCATCCTTGCCATGAGAGTGGCCGCCTCTGACAGACAGCTGGAGTGGTAATGGTTTTGGCCACTGTCATTCTGGGAGGTGGAGTGCTTTAAAGAAGCCAGACTCCTCAGAGTTCTTTTCTCAGAAATTAGGTATTCTTGGTTTTTTGTAACTAAGAACTAATCTGTGGACAGTACTTTGGCCTTTTCAAGAAATACTGGCTGAGGCTAAGTTTTGTGTTACATTAACAGGATGAATGGATGGTGCACATGGTGTTTTACATCATCTTCTAGCCCTTCACAGCTCCTGAAATGATGGTGCTGTCTGTGGGCAAAGGGGACTCCATTCTTTATCCATTTCCTGGTTTATTTATCATAGAGTATTGGAGGATCATATAATTGTGGTGAAGTAAGGGAAGATGGTATACTTATACTGTAAGTTAACTTCTAGGAAAATACAGGGAGAGTTTTTTGAAAGCAATGAGGCTTGGTGGTTTGTTTTTTGGTTTGTGTTTTGGTTTTGTTTGGTTTTTTTAAGGGAAATGGCAGGCATTTGTCTTGTCTTTGGCAGAACCACTGGTTACCCCAGTGCATGTCCCAGAGGGACATTATTCAAGCTATAAGATCAATCTTATTACATTAATTGTGTAATGCTAATAAGTCTGTAAGACTCTTCAGGTGTGACACTACATAACCTATTGGGGGAAAGATGTCTGTGATGCCTTACTTCAGAAAATAGTGGGGTTTTTTTTAGGAAATACACATTTCTGCCTGAGTTCATGCCTGTTTTGGGGGAATTGTTTTCTTTCAGGCGTTTGTGGAGGCTCAGAACAAGCTTACAGTGCCCTTTCTGGAGCAGTGTCCTGTCAGAGGGCTGTTCAAGGAGCGAATGACTGAACTCTACGATTATCCTAAGTACAGTTGCCACTTCAAGAAAGGAAAAAGGTATGTGAAGAATGTCATTGTGGGTGGTGATGAATGTGAAGCAAGTCAAAAGCAATTAATTGTTAGGCAAACAAATTATTAATTAGGTTTGTATTTGTTGCTATATAGTTGGGAAATAGGGAAAGTCAGAGAATGTATATGTGTATATATATATATATATTTCTATATACATAAGGCTGAAGGATGATGAGCTTAAGCTAACCCAAGAAATGCAGTAATGGCTCTGTTGTGTGTCTCACTGATGCTAGGAAGTATCTCCAGTTCTTGGTCATATTGTCTCCTTGTTCTTTGTTGTTTTGTTTTTTTTTTTTTCTTTTTACAGGAAGAATTGTTATTTTATCAAAAATTCTAGAATCAGTGTTGTAAAACTCTGAGGATTTCCTTTCAGGGTTGATCACTCTCAGTTTCATTAAAAGCACCTCATCCTGAAAACGGCACAAATCTGTCATGTGCCTGTTCTAAAGTTTTACTAAAATACTGCTCTTGTGTTCCTCATGCTTTGATCAACTGGTAGGATTTTTGTTTAGAGCCAGCAAGAAGCAGTGGGAATTCCCTTGCGAAAAACAGCTCCTGTATCTGCACAGGACAGGGGAAAGACCAGTTGGAGGACTTATGGTTACAGATGCAAAAAGATACAGTGTCGAAGAAATAAAGAAGTCCTGCTCTATTTGAATACCTGGCCTACTTGTATCCCTGTTTGAATTCTATGGCTGGGTAAAAGCATGGTGCTTCTGTGGTTTACCCAAAGTCTGGAGGCTGCAGCTACTGCTCAATTTTGTGACCTCTTTCAGAAAGGGAGTAAAGGGATGAAACTGCTGATTAATTTAGTAGCATCTAAAGATTGATTCAGCAGTTGAAAAAGAGGTCGTGCAGCCAGCTAACCATTCTTAATCATGGGAAACACAAGTAGTCTTTTCCAGTATTTTCAATTTGTTTGATCCTTGTTGAGTGGGCATGCAGATGTGGCAGGCATGTTTTCGTTGTCATCTGCAGGAAAGAGCAGATGTTTTTTTGCCTTAAGATTTCTGCACAGATATTGATGGAGATGGGCTGCTCTTCAGTTACGGGTTGGATGCTGTGAGGAGGGTGTGGATACTTGTTACTAAGGGAGGGAAAGGATGTGTGTTTTTGTAAAAGTGTATCATGGGGAGTGAACCCAAGCTGATGTTGGTTTAAGTTGTCACTGGCATGACACAGCACATAGTGTGTAGAGGTGTGAGGTTCGAGCCCTGAAGCAGTGGGGCTGTTTAGGACAGTGCTGCATTCAGGGAAGTAAGCCTTCTTGAGCAAATCAGGCAAAGCTTACTCATTTGTATGAGATGCTCATGCAGATATAGCTGTGCTCAATCTGCTTCTGGAGCAGGCCTGGTCAGTGATTGCTCTGGATTCTCTGGCCCATTCTCCCTGTGCAGTGCAAACATGCCTGGGTGTGGTTGTCTTTAATGGTGATAAGGCTGGATGTTGCAGGAGTGTTCATGGCAGTGCTGAGTATAGTCTTCAGCAGAGATAAAAAGTCTTGATTTGATGCAGTTGACTGTCCTCCAGGAAGAATATTTTATGCTGGGACTGTAATGTGCTTTAAGTTATGACACTTTACTTTGTTTTTAACATATGTCGTCTTAGTTTTTTGAGTGTTACTCTATTTCTTGGCATGTACTGAACTTAAATCACAGTGGTTTAAAAACCATAGCCAAACCCCATGTATTATGCTATTTGAGAAGATTAAGAGGGCTATACCAAGTTAAGTGACATGTATTAAGGGGTGGGAGGAGGAAGAACTGTTCTATTTGGAGAAATGTCTAAACTTCCCATGACATTTAGGAACTCTTAAATTTAATTGCCCCAGTTTTCTGCCGAAGAAAGAGCTGCTCAAGGGCAGTGTGTAAAGAGCTGTTGTGCAGAATCTGCAGAAAGGAAGAGTGCCCAGGGAGGTGCTGTCTGTCACATTGTTTGACCTTTGCTTCCCAGCTTATTGCCCAGCCTTGCAGAGGTGAAATTGGCTAGGAAATGCATGGTCAAATGGAAAAGTGTCTCTTTATTTAATCCTTTGAATCTTTCAATTTTATCATTTGCTGAACATTATTGTTAATATTTTAATATATTACTAGTTCAGATTTTTTGCCAGACCTTTGTGAATATAGTTCCCCTTTCTGGGTTTGCCTGGTTCTGGTGCTTGTATCCAAGTACAAGATAGGGAATATGTAAACTTATGTTTAGGTTTGAACATTACCCCATAAATCCCCCTGTTCCCCCAGGAGAAGCTGCTATGTGATTTGTTAAGTCAAGAGTTTGTGTAATAATACTCGTATGTCCTATGAAGGAAGAAAAATGCAGTACCTGAATTGCATAGAATACAGTTATTAATTTCTTTGAGCTCTGTAGTATCTTATGATGTGAAGAATATCCCTCACAAAAGAGAATCCTGTAATTCTCTATTCCTACAACTTTTTCAAAACAAAATTTTGGGGACATTGGGACACAGAAATGAAACCATTTAAGTTCTGTTTCGTTTGAACAGCTGTCTGCCACCCAATTCAGATTTCTAAGCTTTGACACTCAAATAGCTGCTTTCACATAGGGGGTGGGAACCTGTGCCAATACTTGTAACAGAGAAGTGCTGAGGCTGCCAGAGCTTTTAACCTAGACAGATACATGGAGTTTATTGTGTACTTGGATTTGTTTAAAATGCACTGTGGCAAAGGCAGCTTTTACTTTTTAAAGATGTTTTGGGTGCATCCTACAGTCTCTTCTGTACAGTCTGTATCGCCTCAGGATGAGATTCCTTTTATTTTAAGAGGCCTGGAAATTGGTGTCTGGACTTCCTCTGCACTAAGGGGAAGAGACAGGCACCTACAGAGGATGGTCAAATCTCTGATGGCCACAGAGGAAGCCATGATTCCTATGGCACTGTGAGACTTGTGTTTCCCTTAAATATTTATCTGTCTTTTATTCAAGATCATCTCATACAAGTTTTTCTTCCTTGCCATACTGAAAGTCTGAGTTCTTCCTACTTATTTTTCCATCTCATGTTCTTTTAGGTATTTTCATTTCTACAATACAGGACTGCAGAATCAGCGAGTTCTATATGTACAAGACTCCTTGGAAGCTGATGCCAAAGTTTTTCTTGATCCAAATAAGCTTTCTGATGATGGCACTGTGGCTTTACGAGGTTAGTGAGTTCCTGCTAAGTCTGCACCTTCAGTGGAAGTGGTTTCCAGCTCTTCACCTACAAAAGTATGCCTGAAGTGGCTTATTTTTTTAAGCAAGTGGTCATGATAACCATATGTGGGTTTGTGTAGTGTTTCAGAGAACACTTCTAAATCTACGTTGTATGCACAGTCAATTTGGTTAAGTTTCTCAATGTCTCTTTTCAGAACTCTGTAACAGGTTTCCACTGAAGTATTAACAGATTTTGAGGCCTTCCATAGCAAGGAAAAAATATTTGTGTATTTATATTGACTAATTTCTTAAAATTGTATTTTGCATCTTTAACACAAGACAGCAAGTTAAAGTAATAAACTGTGAAGGAATGTAGTGTTAACTTCTATGAGAATTACAGCATTACTTGTGTTCACTAGGGCTTTCAGCTGGGCTTGCTGTCCGTTTTCCTACTCCCTGGTGGCTTGTTGTAGAAGCAAGACTCTTGGACCTAGAGGCCCTTCAAGTCTGTTCAAGGCCAGTTAATAATGACAGAGGACAGATTTAGTGGACACTTCCTTAAGTGTGACCTAATTGCAAAGAATCAATATGGCTTTTTTTTTAGTGAGAGATGCTGCCTTAAACTGGATATAAGGAGTTGGATTCTTATGATCTTCCTGTATTTCTAAAAAGGCATATGACAAAGTCTCTTTCCAAATGCAGTAAGAGGAATGACAGCCATGGAACAGAAGGGGAAACTACTGGTGTCGATAAATAATTGATTTAAAGGCAGGTACAGGAAAAACTGATCAACTGTCGAAGTCACTAGTAGAGTTCTGCCAGGGACTATGCTAGGACTTGCACTGTTCAGTATGTTCATAACTATTAGGAAAGGGAGTGAGCAGAGAGGTAGCAGGGTTTGGTGATGACACAAGGTTACTCCAGGTAAAGGCTGAAGACTGACAGAGCTGTAGAAAGACTTTAGCTATAGTGAGTGGGCAATAAATTAACAGGTAAAAATCTCTGTGCAGATAATTTTAACTGATGTGCAGGGGATAAACAATCCTAACCTCATTTGTAGAGGAGTGGATGGAATAGACTCTGAGCTGACCATGACCACTTGGGGAGAGTTCTTAGGCTGTAATAGGTAGTTCCATGAAAATGTCAGCCTGGTTCTCATTAGCAGCCAAACAAGCACGTCAAATATTAGAAATTAAGAAGGAAATAGAGAACAAACCAGAAAACACCATTACATTGGCAACCCAGGAGTTTATATAAACGCATAGTTGCAGTTCCCTGAGCTCAAAAGGGCTCTGAAATAGAGTTCAGAGGAGGGAAGTAGGAACAATCAAGGGTATGGAGCAAAGGTCAGAAACACTGAGCGTGCCCAGACCCGCCACCATGGGAAAGGGGGAATTTAGCAGGGGTACAATAGAGGTCTGCAGGATTATTTGTCACATGAAGTAGTGTGGAGAAAGCAAATAGGGGTTGGTTGGTCACCATTTTCTCTATTTCATGAATGAGGGGATATCAGATGAACGCAGTGGCAGTTGAGTCCAAAGCAAACAAAAGAAGGAGATGGTTCATGCTGCAAGAAAAAGATTGTAGAGCCCCTTCCCAATGGATGTTGGTGGTGCAGAAAACTTACTGTGGGCTTAAAGGCAAGCTGGACAAGCACTTTCCCAATTTCGCCTCTATTTCATTGGAATTTGGCTAGTGTGTAGTAAATAATAAAAAGTTGTATCGCAAATTAGCAAACACTTTTTTGAAAATACTGATTCCTTGTGCTGGTTCTTACTTCGTATTCTTTGATTCCAATTTCTTAGGTTATGCATTCAGTGAAGACGGTGAATACTTTGCATATGGCCTGAGTTCTAGTGGCTCTGATTGGGTTACTATCAAGTTTATGAAAGTTGAAGGTCCTGAGGATCTTCCAGATACGCTGGAGAGAGTTAAATTCAGTTGCATGGCATGGACCCATGATGGAAAAGGCATGTTCTATAACTGCTATCCAAAACAAGATGGGAAAAGTGATGGTAAGTATGGCTGTACTAATTACATGCTATTTGGAAGCAAAATGACCTTTTCAGTAAATTGTTGCAAAAAATAATTAGCCCTACTAGTTTACACTTGAAGTATCCACCTATACTAATTTACACAATTAGATATCAGATTGTGTCTTGTGTGGCCAAAGCCTTTTCTCAGTGTGAGTATTCCTTTGCCTGCTTGTCACTGTCTTTCTCCTGTGTTTGCTTCTCCCTTTCTTTCTCTCTACAGTGATTTACTTAGCTTTCATACAGGCTGTTACTAGCAGGAATTTGATGTCTGGTGACATCTTACTTATATCTTTTTCCTTTATGCATTTGTGAACTGGCTTGGAAGGTTGACCTGATGAGTAGCAACCTGAGGCATAAGGTTTTTGTTATTCAACTAGATTAATTCATCTGTGGTTCCCAGCACAGCAACACGAAAATATTTATGCTAGCAAAACTCAAGGAGCAGCACACAGAGTGGAATAAATTGCTGAGGAATGTCAGCAGGGAAGGAGTTCAACAGCTCTTATTATAAGGCAGTGCTACTGGAAAGTTTCTTCTGGAGAAACCTTGGAGAGACCATGAATTTTGCCTCTGTATTTGTTTTCACAGCTTATCCCTTAGGGCTCATTTTTGGGACCAATCTTGGTTAAAATTTTTATCAGTGACCTGGATGAGGGTATCAAATGCACCCTCAGTAAATCTGCAGATGACATGAAATTATGTGGGAGGGTTGATCTGCTTGTGGGTAGGAAGGCTCTGTAGAGGGATCTGGACAGGCTGGAGCCATGGGCTGAGGTCAGTTTTATGAGGTTTAACAAGGCCAAGTGCCAGGTCCTGCACTTGGGTCACAACCCCAGGCAGCACTACAGGCTCTGGGAGGAGTGGCTGGAAAGCTGCCTGGTGGAAAAGGACCTGGGGGTGTTGGTGGACAGCCAGCTGAACATGAGCCAGCCATGTGCCCAGGTGGTCAAGGCCAGTGGCATCCTGGCCTGGATCAGAAACAGTGTGACCAGCAGGAGTAGTGAGGTGATCGTGCCCCTGGACTCAGCACTGGTGAGACCACACCTTGAGTCCTGTGTCCAGTTTTGGGCACCACAGGATAAGAAGGACATTGAGGTGCTGGAGTGGGTCCAGAGAAGGTCAACGAGGCTGGTGAGAGGGCTGGAAAACATGGCTTATGGGGACTGGCTGAGGGAACCGGGGTTGTTTAGTCTGGAGAAGAGGAGAGAGAGAGGTGACCTTGCTCTCTACTCCTGCCCAAAAAGAGGTTGTAGTGAGGCTGGTGTTTGTCTCATCTCCCAAATTACTGATGATAGGATGAGGGGAAATGGCCTCAAGTTGTGCCGGGGGAGGTTTCAATTGGATGTTAAGAGGAATTTCTTCACTGAGAGAGTGGTTAGATACTGGAACAGGCTGCCCAGGTAAGTGGTGGAGTCGTCATCCCTAGAAGAGTATATGTAGCACTTGAGGCTATGGTCCAGTGGTTAGGGAAATGCTGGGATGGTGGTTGGACTTGATGATCCTAGAGGACCTTTCCAACCATGGTGATTCTACAATTCTATGATTCTGCCAGACTTGCAAGTTAGATACTCACTTTGTGTTTTTCACTTTTAAACATCTTGGTAGTTCAGAAGCTGAAGTATTGGAAAATCTTGCAAGAACAAAATTTAAAAAAGATAAAAATCAAGTAGCACCTCATGCAGTGCTTTAAAAAACTTCTTTATTTTTATTTGCAGCAAATGGAAGTATGAAGTTTTCTAGGAATGTTAATTAGCAATAAATCTCCATTTAGTTGTTCAGGGGGCAATGGGAGCAAAAAGGTCACTAGAGAGTGGCAGGGATTGTTGCTTTTCTTTGCTTGCTTAGTATTTCTAGAAATCAAAGCTTGAAATGATAAATCTTCACATTTGAAAAATGTATTATCCACAGTAAAAGGAAAGGGTAATTTGAGAGGTTGGCAGTGTGGTTTGAAGTTTTATTTTGGTCTGGAGGGAAATGGTTATAGATAAAAACCATTCTTAGATCTCTCTGCTGGATTATTATCTCTGTTACATGTTTTATATGGGATACAGAAATTTCAAAAGGTTTTGCTTGATAATTGTTGGATTTCTTTGAGAACTAATTGTTTAAATATCTGCATTTCAATAGGCACTGAGACCTCCACTAATCTGCACCAAAAGCTGCATTACCATGTATTAGGAACTAACCAGTCAGAAGATATCCTGTGTGCTGAATTTCCGGATGAACCGAAATGGATGGGTGGAGCTGAGGTACGGTGAGCACACCCTGAAGCTTCTCGTTGTTCTGTTCAGTTTTTTCAGATTCTAACAACTGATAGTAGCTAAAAAGTAGAAAACATTTTGCTGAAGGAACGCTTTTTATTTGTCTTACGGAGTTGACCCTTGACCTAAGAATCATTGACTAAGAATTGTTGAAAGTGAGACTTGTTTTGTTTGCTTTAAACCAGTTCTCAAGCCTGGAAGGACACAATAACATACCCTTTTTCTTCTCTGAGGGCATTGTGCCTGATGCATATTTGAGGGCAGAGAAGGATCATTTGTTGGACAGTATGTCACTTCTCTTGTTTCTTCTTAGTCAGTGTTGAGACCCAGCCTACACTTCCTGCACAAAAAGCTTATTCCAATAATCAGCTTGTCTGGATATTCCCTGCCATGTATTTATTTTGATTCTATTTATTTTCATGATGTCATTCCTGAAAATGAGATATGTCTACTCTACTTACTTGAGGGATGGGGACATACAAGTTGAAATCTGTTAAAACTGTGTGCACAGTTGGAGAATTGGAGATTTCCCTACAACAAGTTTTATCAGCACAAATAAGGTGTGGACTGAGTTAGTGGAGACAAGTGACTGCTGGAACTGATTTCTTAATCTTGTTTTGTTAAACTACTAGTATGTGGTGCAAAGTCCCATTGAACCAAACTGATAGGTAATCATGCTCTGTTCTTTCTGACATGAATGATTCAGAAGATTTAAGTTTTATAAGTTTTATGATTCATGTTTGTTTTATTCTTTATATTAGACTTAACAGTGCTTGATTAATTGCTGTTGGAATGTAGTGGTGGTCATCCTGTTTATCATGGAATTTACATTTTTCCAGTGGATAGAAACACATTGTAATTCTTTGTACTCTCCTAGCTACTATATTTAATCGGTATATTTTATTTCTATACAGTCTCTCTTTTGGTCTGACACTTCTGATAAATATGAAATGTTTTAAACCTGATTTGGGATATTCAGTTCCTAGAACTACTTTTCCCTGAGAGGGCTTCTTTTTAAAAATTTGATCATCAGTCTGTCATTTTCAACACATCAATTGATGAAAATATTGGGGGTTTCTTTTCTGTGGGCTGCCAGAAAAGAAAGGAGGTTCTTTCAAAGAATTTGAACAGTGGGATTCAAAATGAGACTGTGAGTGAGCATGTGAAGGGCTCTCCAGCAAAGTGACCACACCGAGCTTTCTCTGTATAAATCAAACTTATCTTTTGGTTCTTTGTATTAACAGAACCTGTTTTACATGATCTCATCTATTCATGAAACATACCAAACAACTTCCCTGAATATCAGTGTCAACTTGCAAATGGGGCTTTGGAGTTCTTTTTTAACTGTTCAAGAAAAGTCAAAACAGTCAGTTCTGTTGAGTTTGGTTGGCAATAAAATGGAATTTGGAAATCATTATCCTTATTTTTCCTAGTTCCGTAAATGGGCTTGCTGTCAGTGACAGATGTCTTGTAGTGATGTATCCACTGATTCACTTGAGTGATGCATGTTATTATTGTTGTCATTATGGCTTTGCACTGTCGTGAGCTAAACTACATGTGTTGTTGTGAAGGCAAATTCATTTTCTGTGGGAGAGGGCTGTTGCAGTGTGATTCATTAGACTATACAGCTTTTTCGGGCATTGAAAGTTTGGAGTCTCAGAGGGTATCAAATCCCATGGAAATGATGTATTCTCTATGAGTTGTAGAGGGACACTTGTCTTGAAACAGCCCCATGGGTAAGTATTGGGAAAGTGGGGAGTGCAGCAAATAGAAAAACACCTCACCATGGGTTTTTGTTTAATAACTTCATATGGCTGCTTATGACTTTCCTTGGCCTATAGGAGGCATAAGCTTCTAGAGATGTTGGGATTTAAGAAGTGGTGCTACTTCAAGGGGGAGTGGTAAAGCAGAGATGCAGCTTGGTAAATGATGATGAGCTTATCTACTTGAAAACAACTGATATTCTGGGATTGTACTGTAAGATCAAGCTGTAAAATGTGGCTCTGTCCTGATACTAATGAGAAATGGTTTATAATGGTCAGAAAAAAACCCCGTACTCTGCAATCAAAAAAAAACAAAAAACCCAACCAAACAACAACAAAACACCAAGAAGAAAACAAAAAAAATGCAGTTGCAAAGTGTGGTTTCATCCTTGTGCTGCATGTCAAGAATCTTCATTTCAGGGCATTCAGACAAGTTTTCTGGCCCATTTTTTTAAAGTGTGCATTTGAGAAAGTGGAAGACCACAAAGTAATGGGGGAAAAATTAAAATAGCTTTAGTAAAAATCAAATTATATGGCTTATTGTCATTGTCCTGAATATTCTTACTTGATGCTAATATGCTGCCACAGATTTTAAAATGTATCTTTGCACACCTCTGTGTTTTGTGAAAGTCCACTTTCATATGTTCCTGCCAGATTAAAAAACGTTTTTATTGTACAGGGCCTTGCTGGGGCAAATAGGCAGAGGCATTTGGATTCTTTTTTTCTATACAAGCTCCAGTGAAGGCAGTCAGATTATGGTAGTTTGGGTGACCTAGTTTCAACTTCGAAGCCTTTCTCTGTAGTGGGGACAGAGCTTGAACTTCCATAGTCACGTTTAGAGCAGAATTTACGAGTCTCACAAACATTGGGTTGAGGGAGAAAAATACCTTCCTTGCAGCTGACGAAATCATTCAGAGACTTCGAAAGTAATAATGTTGCCATGATGCTTCAATAAAATGTGTAATTTCAGGTGCGCTGTAGGGAGTTGTTGTGGTGTCTATTTTCAATGGAGAGAAAAAACTAGGTCACTGATTAGGACAAAAGAGGACTGTGTAAAATTTTGTCAGCTTAATACACTTACAGGGCAACACGCAAGAAAATAGCTTCGGGTTTTTTTCCTTATTACACATTCAACACCAGCCCCAAGTATGCCTGATCTAAACAAAATCTGTGGTGCTGAAAATGGTTTTGGCATAGAAGTATAGGTGCATTTCCAACTCGTCACTTGAATGGATTGCTTGTGAGGGGAAAAAAAATCATCTGTTTACTGTTAGACAGATATATAAGTTTTGAAAAAGAGTCTGTCAAGTCTTTTCATTAGTCTAGAAAAAGTGTATGTGTTTCTGGTACAGATTCTAGGATGGTGAGGGAGTTGTGAAGAGCAGAGGTGGTGTTTATTTGAATAAGATCCCAGCAGAGGGCAGTCTAGTATGAAGATTTTTAAAACCTTGGCAGCTCTCTCTGAAAAGGGGAGCTTCCCATGCTTCTGTTTAAGTGGCATGTTCTTGCTTCCTCTGCAGGCTCACAGTGTGTCTCTCTTTCACAGCCAGACTGTTATTCACAAAGTTAAACAATAAGTTACATAAGAGCCTTTCACAGTTGGTAGTGCTAAAAGTCCCTTCCGTACTGGCAGGAAAGTGAACAGGAGAGAAAGAGGGTGAGGGAAACCCTTTCATCCCAATTCTGTCAGCAGTAAAACAAGTACAGTTTTTTCATGGTGTTGTCTTACAAACACTGTGCACAGTCCTGACAATTTTTATTTTAATTTTTTTTGGTTATATTTAGAGCTGTCAGTTAACATCAGTGGCTCTCAACCAGGGAGGTGATCTTGCAAATGAAATTCAGAACACAGAGGAGTAAACGGTGCCAAATGTGAGCTGGCTGTGGTGTGTTTTCACTGCAGGAATGTGTAAGTGCAGCATCCATAGGGGAAGAGTGAGCAGCGTGAAGGGGAAGGGCTCAAACCGTTGTCAGTGTGCTCAGGTGAGACTCACTGCTGAATAAAACTGCTGTGGGAGTTTTTCTGAAGCCTTATGCTATCTTTGTCAAAGCTGAATCTGGAATGGAAGCCTACTATGAATATCTTCCAACAGCCCTGGTCTGGAGAACTTTGACAATAAGAAACAGGCAGGCAATATCTCTGTCTGCACGTGGGGCTATGGGAGATGGTAACCTCTTACGTAGCCAGGTTCCTGATGCTTTAGTGCTTTCATGGTACTCAAAAAGAAGCTGAAAGCCACAGGAGGACGTTGTCCCATCAGAAGGCTATTGATTTTGCTCTGAGCTAGATTTAAGAAAGGGCATGCATGTACCTGTTGCTGCATTCCTCTTCTGAACAGGGCTGTCTGGTGCCCTGTTGCAATTGAAACAGTCGGAAGCACAATGATCTAGGGTAAAACTGCCAGTTCTCTGGCATTTTGTATTCTCTTTGGTAGGTCTCCTTCAACACCAGGCTTAGCAGAGGCTCAGAAGGATATGGTTAGACTAGAAATGCTCTTTATGCCAGCACACTGTACCTGAAATCCAAGAAACAAAACTCACCTGGAATAAAGAAATTAACTCCCAAAGAAATTTTTCTAACCTGAGGAAGGTATGGATAGAACAAATAGCAAGTGGTTTACATATAACCAGTCCATGTCCTGCAAAGGGTATGTCAGGTTTGCTCCTCAGAAAGCAGTAAGTGGTTTCTGTTGGACCTGATCCTGAAATTGTGCATTTCTGTGATCACCCATCATTAGGGCTTCTGAAATCTAGTCGATGAAACCAGTGTGATGCAAATGGAAAACAAACCAAAGTGTTTTCAGCCTTAGTGTACCAGTTTCAGGGACCTTTGTGTAGAGAGTCCCAAGAGGTCGATTTAGTGAAAGGGGATCCATGCCCAGTCCTCATCTTCTCAAAAGAATGCTGAAGTATAAAAGCAGGTAGGAACTATATGCCATCTTTGGTGACTTGCTGGCAACACCACAAAGACAATGTCATAACGTAGCTTTGCATTCCTTTCATGGCATACCCCCCCAAACAAAAACCCCAACCCTTCACAGTTGTTTTATCTAATGCAAAAAAAAAAAAAAAAAGTGTTTCCTGTTCTAGGGAAGGAAATAGATTTGCTTTTTCTAATAGTTAATAGCAGTGGAATTTGAAAGGCTGGGATATTACAGCTGGGGGCTCCTTGTCGTCACACAAGTAGAACTTTGTGGCATGGAGGCATGTGTGCATCTGTTTGAT